CCTTTCTGCTGTGAGGGGAGCAACTAACCCATAACTCAATGCTGCCATGGCTTGATCAGGAAAGTAGTGATAAAACCGTTCGGGGTTATTCTCTAACGTGATAGTTGCCAGGAATTCAAATAGAATTTTGCATTTTGGACCAAAGTAATTAAACCAAAAACAGAGCTGTCTTGTATATTTTTTTTCTAGTTTGGCTATTTTAAAAAATTTAAAAAAAAATTTAATTCCCAGCAAGTCTTACTTGAATAACTGTGCAGTGAGTGTGCAGGTAGTGCATAATGGGGCTTACGTTTAAATCCGGTGAATGCTTACTGCCAATGCAAATTTCATACAAAGAGCTTACAATCTAAAATGAGGTAAGGAAATGTGTTAAGGGTGGATCAATGGTTAGCAGGTAAAATTCACATTGGGCATTGGTTAATGCTAGTTGAGTAACAAATACAATTAAATGATATGTCGGAGAAAGCACAATCTGCCTGCCAGATGTTGTATTCGGGAGACATGAAGAAAGTGTGAGATGATGTAAGCATTTGACATGAATACTATGAGAGCAGATTAATCACTAGATTTCTATGTACATTGTGATCACGTCTCTGCTTGGAGTTTTATTCCTACGGCAGGTTAGACTATGAAAAGAAAGAGAAATAGGGCATTGTAATCCCTTCTTTACTGCTGGGACATTAACCATTTAAACATTGCAAGTGATGTGTATAATGTAGGCACTATCCCTCTTAAAGAAAATAGAGTTAAATGGGTGTTAACCTTTACACATGAAAATGCAAAAAAAAAAATGCAAACAGATTTGTAAACGGCATTAATCTGCAACGTTAATAATGTGTGACTGTATATGGTTGCATACAAGTGACATTATGTATAAAATATTGAGTCTCGGCTTGATAAATTCCAGCCATTATTGCTAGTGTATAAGCCTTTAGCCCCCTTTTCTAATTATATTTTTATAGTTTTTCTCTCCTCTTTTTCTATTTTTTTTATTTAGAACTCTGCGGATGTTTGTTTTTGCTGAGGGTATAGCCCTGTAGGCCAATACGTACTACATCATACTATATACTAATAAAATAATAAGTTCTAGATAATATGATCATGATACAAGCTAGATCGTGAAAAGGTACATTATCATTCAACAATAAGCCATGATATGAATAATAATATTTGCAAAGTTATCAGTATGTAAACCCGGGGCGGGAGCATCATTTTTTTTTTATAAATTCTTTATTTATAACATTTTCCATAACATCACAGTTAGTTTCTTTTTTGTGCGGGGGAGGGGGTACAGAAGAGAAGAGGGGGGAGATGGGGTAACAGTGGTTGGTACAAATTTTCTGTTAGTGAGCGTTTAGCAAACCTTTCCATATCGTCTGTAGTTGCCCAGTGTTCAGTTTGCCGTGCTTTTCGCGGGTATGTACTTGGTAAGTTGGGGTGGAAGGGGGGGGGTTTGCATGAGAGAGCGGGGGGACGGGGTTCCGGGTGCCATTCTGTTTTCACTCTGTTGTGGTTCTGTGCTGGTATAGACCCCCTGGTTCCAATGGTGTGAGCCCGTGTCTTTTGGTGGTAGCTTGCCTGGTAGCCAGTTGGGCCCTGGATATTTCTTAAGTGGTAAGCTGCTGGCCTATTGATGCGTGGGGAGGCCACTTGGGTTCGGGCTGTGCGATAGGCTGGTTTCTTGGACGGGGTTCTGTGTGCTGTGACCAGGTGTTGGCGTGTGGAGCCCGGGGGTTGAGAGATGGAGGCTCTGTTGGGATGGACGGGCCTGGGAGGTGTGAGAGGGGGGTATGCTCTCTCTGCATGTGCACTCCTTACTTTTGCCAGGTTTCGGCTGTGTGGTCGGGGGTTAGGAGCAGGGGCCAGTTTTCCCCGGGGGTTAGTGCTGTCTCTGTCTTTGGTGGGTCGCACCAGGGGTTGGTTTTGGGCCGCGGAGGTGTGGTCAGCGGCCGTGTCAGTTATACTATTTGTGCGGTGAGGCTGCACATTCTCGGGGTCCTGCTGTTCTGATACCCAATCTCTAGGCCGGTGTTTAACTTGGCCGATGTGCGTCCTTTTGGTCAGTGTCAGCCCTCGGGATGGTGTTGATCTGTGGGTTAGGGTCGGGGGTCAGGCGTAAGGGTGGTTCCTGTCTTGCCCCCTCCTCATCCGGGCGTTCGTCCTTATCCAGTGTCAGGGGAGAGTAAGGGTGGAGGGGGATGTGGGTGGTTTCCCACCCAGTCGTCTGCCCGCGCCAGCCGGGACCCCATTGGGGGGGTGGGTAGTGGGGTAGGGTATTGTTGGACTGGTGGCTTTTGCAGGACTAAGGGTGGAGAGGGGTGTTGGGTGTGTGGGGCGTCTGTGAGTGGTTCTGTTGTGTGCGCCCTTCTGTCCTTGTGGATCTGATCCAGATAATGGTTCGGGGAGGTGCTGCGTTCAGACGGGTCGTTTAAGGCTGTGCGGTTGAGGCCAATTTCTGGTTGTTCATGTCCCAGGGGTCCCAGGTTCGGTGGAACGCTTTATATAAGTCGTGTATCTGTGCGGTTAATTCGTCCAGATCGTGGGTTTCTCTGATCTTGTTGATGATAGTTGAGATTGTGGGAGGTCGGTGATCTGCCCATCGCTCCGCGATTGCCCTTCGGGTTGCCAGCGTTATCCTGGCAGCTAGTTTGTTTTCGCTCCTAGTAAGGGAGTCTTGTGGTTTGTTGAGTAGCATCGTCCATGGATGTGTAGTGATGGGTTTGTCGAGAATTTGTTCTAACAGGCCGCAGATTTCCGTCCAGAGTGGCCTAATTTTGGGGCAGGTCCACCAGCAGTGTAGGTAGGAACCCATTCCACCGCACAGTCTCCAGCATAGATTGTGGGGTTTTCGGACCATTTTGTGGAGTCTAAGCGGCGTCAGGTACCAGCGGAATAGCGTTTTGTATGCTTCTTTTTTGTGGGTGACGCATACTGTCAGGGAGTTCGTTGCTTCCCAGATTTCTGCCCAGTCGCTTGGTTCCTCCGGTGGTCCAAGGTCTCGCTCCCATGCGGTGATGTAGGTGAGGTTGATTTGGGAGATGTGTGACGTTAGGGTAGTGTATAGATTGGAGATTTGTCCTGGGTGTAGGGGTGCATCGAAGCACCGTTTTTCGAATGGTGTCGGGGGTGAGGTGCCAGCTTGTTTAATCAATGGCTGTCTTGCCAGGTCCCTGAGTTGTATGTAATGGAAATAGTCTGCCGTCGTAAGTGTTTCGCCGTCCGGGAGGTCTTGGTAGGCGATGATTTCTCCCTGGTGGTACAGGTGGAGCAGTCTGGAGACGTCCCTTTGATCGAATGCGCGGAAGTGCTTTGCAACCATCCCTGGTGGGAAGAGTTTGTTACGGTATATTGGCGTTACCGGGGAGATGAAAGAGGAAAGCTCGTATTTAGGTTTGAGTTTATCCTAGAGAGCGGGCGGTGGACGGGGGGCACCCACAGATAGGATGATGGTTGGTCCCAGCCCATGACATCGTGCTCCAGATCTACCCATCTTTTGGTACTCGGGGGCGCGTGCCATTGCAGGATATGGGCCAGTTGGACCGCGTTGTAATATTGCTGGAAATTGGGTAACCCAAGGCCCCCGCTGGTTTTGGGGACGTACATGGTCGATCTGCGGATGCATGGTTTTTTCGCCCTCCAAATGAATTTGTCAATGGCGGCCTGAAGATCTTTAAAGTCTTTTTTCTGTATGGGGATGGGTAGCGCTTGGAAGAGATATAGAAAGTGCGGTAGCAAATTCATTTTGATAGTTGTAACTCTGCCTAACCAGGAGATCCCCAGACTGTCCCATCGTCGCAGGTCCAGGTGAGCTGTTGCCAGCAGAGGTTTGTAGTTTAGATCATAGGTGTCTTCCAGGTTTAGGGGCAGTCTGGTGCCCAAGTATGTGAGGTGGGTCTTGATGGTTTGGAAGGGGAAAGATTGTCATAGGAGGTTGATTTGTTGCGCGTTCATCGCCATGGGTATGAGCACGGATTTCATCAAGTTAATTTTGTACCCTGAGAGGCTGGCGTATTCTGTTATCACATTGAGGGTAGCGTGCAAGGATGGTGTCGGGTCCGCGAGGGTCAGGAGGACGTCGTCCGCATACGCCGCTACCATGTACGTGTCTTGTCTTACTTGGATGCCATGGATGTCGGGGTGATTGCGGATGGCTTGTAGAAGTGGTTCTAACGAGATTGCAAATAGTCGGGGGGAAAGAGGGCAACCCTGCCTGGTCCCGTTTGTAATGGCGAATGTTTGGGTTTAGACGTTGGGTATGAGGAGGTTCCCAGTGGGGCGGTCATAAATCACCGTCAGGGCGTTTAGGAATCCGGCCGGAAAATTCAGGTGTGTTAGTGTTTGGAACATATATGGCCAGAGAAGGCGGTTGAATGCCTTCTCTGCGTCCAACGAGAGCATTACCGACGGGATGTGTCGGTTCGGGGCATACCAGATTGTGTTAAAGGCTCTTCTGGTGTTGTCCGATGCCTGTCTTGTGGGGATGAAGCCGACCTGGTCCGGGTGTATCAGCTTAGGGAGGTACGTGTTGAGGCGGTTGGCCAGTGCTTTGGTGAGAATTTTTAAGTCGGTGTTCAGTAGTGAGATTGGTCGGTAGTGCCCTGGGTCTAGTTGGTCCTTCCCTGGTTTGGGCAGGAGGCAAATGTCGGCGGCTAGCATGTCCGGAGGGAGGTGTTGGCCCTGGAGAAGAGAGTTGAAGGTTTTGCACAGGTGCGGTATGAGTGTTGCCTGGAACGTTTTATAGTAGAGGGCTGTGAAGCCGTCTGGGCCTGGGCTTTTCATGGGTTTTAGTGTTTTAATGACCTGGGCGAGTTCTTCTCCCTCTATGGACGATTCCAGCAGGGTCCGTGCCTGTGCGGGTAGGGTGGGTAGGTTGAGGGGTTGCAGGAAGGCGAAGATACGCGCCTGTTGGATTGTGTCCCCTGTGTGTAGTAGGGATTCGGTGTGGTTGTATAGATTAGTGTAATATTGTAGAAATTCTTGTGCTATTTTGTCCGGTTTGTTCATGATCTCTGCCTTGCTGGTTCTGATTTTGGAGATTTTTTTGTTGTCCTGCCTTTTTTAAGGCAGTTTGCCAGGAGGGAATCCGCTTTATTCCCCTTCTCGTAGAAGCGCTGCTTGGTCCACATAAGGTTTCGTGCTACATCCGCCGCGGAAAGTCGCTTGAGGAGCTCTCGTGTAGAGGTAAGCTGTGTGAGCAGCGTGTCTGAGGGGTTTTGTTTGTGTTGCGTTTCGAGCTTCGTTAAGGTGGTTAGTGCGTCCGTGAGGTCCTTGAGGCGCTGTTTTTTGAGTGCTGTAGCGGTTGCAATCAGGTGTCCTCGGATTGTCACTTTGTGGGCTGCCCACACTGTCGCTGGGGCCACGTCGCTTGTGGCGTTGATGTCAAAGTAAGTTTTGAGTTGGTCTGTTATGGTGTGTACCATTGCCTTGTCCCGGAGGATCCATGGGTTGAGGCGCCAGCGACATGGGCGGGATTGTCGCGGGATTTGTAAGTCTAGTGTGATCTCCACATGGTCTGACCATGCAATGTTTCCTATATGCGTGTGGGTGGTCCAGGGTTGGACTGCCTGTGAAAAAAGGAAGCAGTCTATGCGTGAATACGACCGGTGTGTGGGAGTAGAAGGTGAAATCTTTGTCTGCCGGGTGGTTGGTTCTCCAGATGTCCAGTAGAGAAATCTCGTTGAGAAATGCAGCGTATAGTTTGTCGTTTCTCGTTGGAACTGGCATAGCAGCAGTGCAGGTCCTGCGGTCGACGGCAGGTGTGTGTGTCGCATTGAAGTCACCTCCAACAATTAGGTGTTTGGCCGAGATGCTGTCAAGGTGGGACTTGAAGGTGCTCCAGAAAGTGTTATCTGGGGTGGTGGGCGCGTAGACCGAGCATACCGTAAGCGGTGTTGTGCCCATGTTTCCTGAGAGGATCAGATATCTCCCATTTGGGTCTCGGAGCGTGCTAATGTCTTTGAGTGGGCAGGAGTTGCGCAATAGGATCGCCACTCCTTTTTTTTGGGGGGTGCGGGGAGTTGGCTAAAAAATGTTTTTTGAAATGTCTGTTAGTCAGTGGGAAGCATTTTTGGTCAGTGAAGTGGGTTTCCTGGAGCAGGATTATGTCCGCCCCTGTGCGGTTGGCCCAGCGGAGTAGCCCATGTCTCTTACCTGGGGAGTTCAGACCTTTCATGTTGAGTGAGGTTAGGCGGAGCTTTATGTTCGGTGGCGCCATGGTATGTTGTGCCCGTAGGGGCGAGGCGTTCCCGGTTAGGGCCGCGTGGGGCTCGGATCAGGGGGTGTGGTATTTGAAGATGGGCGTATCGGTGGAGTGGGGGGAGGAGTGTGGTGGTTTTGTGGGTTCCGGCGTGCGCGGGCACGGCGGTCTGGAGGGGCAGTCTGGGAAAGTGGTGTGGGTGGGAACTGGACTTATCAAGCTGGCCAGTTGTCTGGTAGGCAGGGGGGGCTCGGGCTCCTGTCCTCGTGGTGGAGTTGGGAGTTATGAGTCCTGAGAGAGGGGTGTTGGCAAGTTTTGGCAGGTCCTGCCGTCGGCCTGCCTATGTCCGGGCTGTGTTGGCTGAGCGTTAGGTCGGGGTCTTGGGGGGGGGGGAGAGGGTGCGGGTCTGCCGTGGCCTATGACTGCCATATGGTATATGATGGCAGGTCTTGGGTGGCTGGGGGGAGAAAAGTGTCCTCTTGTTATGGTGGCTGTCTTGCACCTGCCCTGTAGCGTTTTGAGGGTGTAGGTGCAGTTGTTGATAACATGAAACAAGGAGGTTGGGCACTGGCAACTTTTCAACATCGTGTGCGTAACATTGTTATAACATCATTAATATTTTTGTAACAGGTGTGTAAGAGCTAGGTAACATTAATTTCGTGAGATCAGGCTTTGGAACATGCGCGAGCAACCAGTGAAACACAGCAGTTGTCAGGTAGTCTAACTGGGGCATATTGTGGGGTTAAGATAACACTGTGGGACATGGGGTGTGTTGGTTGTTCTTTACGACCCCGCTTTGCAATTGTCTATGGGTGCTTTCCAGCAGTGGTTCCCTACCTAACGGTGGGACTGCTGTGTGTTGCCCCCTAGATGTTGTCAGGCCTTAGGTGGTACCAGTATCGTTGCTACGGTATCCATTCGGCAGGCGTTGATTTCGCCAGTTGTGCCTATGCTGTGGGGTCCGCTATCTCAACCCATCCCTTTTGTTTCTTCTGTATGTCAGCCCCGTGGCCCGTTTGTGGTGCCAGTTATTATCTATTCAGGTGGGTGGTCGTGTAAGTGCCGGAGGTGGGCCGCAGTAGTCTTCTGAATGTTTGTTTTGAGCCCAGTTTGTGTTTGGCTGTGGTGGCTTTTCAGTTGTGGCCCCGCACCGGCCAGCAGAGGGGTCCTGTTAGTCTCTATTCGTGTAGTGCTGTCGTGGGGCCTGTAGGGGTGCGTCAGCTCTCTATCTAGGGGAGGCGGCTGCGCCTGTGGTGTTGGGCCCTGCTGATGTCAGGCAGACAGTCAGGCGTTGGCATTATGACGGTCGGTCCTTCTTACCACTATGTCATGTTGTTCCCCCCTGCGTGTTGCATGCGAGGTGAGGGTATGCTGGGTGGGTCGTGGTCGGCTACCAGTCGCCTATCTTATTGGCTGCGAGTGCAGGGTGTCCACGGCTGGCTGGGGTGCGGGCATGCGTGAGACTCACTCCCGGTGCGGTGTCCAAGGGCATAGACCCCGTCGTCGGCTCCCTCGGGGGTGTGCATGTAGGGTATGCGTGTGGGTCCGCCGGCGTCCCCTGTGGTATGTTTGGACCGGGCAGGGTGGGGCAAGTCTGTTCGTCCCATAGCTAGACTGGGCTTGTCTCTATTTGTTGCGTGTGGTGTGAAGCGTGTGGGCAGGGGCCCAATGTCAGCCGCTCTGGGGTTAGGGCATGTTTGTGGCCTGTTCGCCATTGTCTCCCTATACGGTCCAGGGCCGCGCCCCAAGTTGTCTGTGCTGGACACCCGGCCCATGGCAGCCAGTGACACTGGGCCCCTCGTGGTTCCGGTGTGCTTTAGGGACTGGGGGGGCGTATACCCGTGAGTGCGTGAGGCTATTGGCCTCTCCAGGGCCCGGTCCCTGTCATGTGTGGTCTGTACGTGAGGTGGTGGGGTGCCCAGTGAGGTTCCCTCATCCCCTGCGGCATGTGCAGCTATATGGATGGAGTGAGCCCTTTCTCTATATACCCCCCTTTTCCCCCCCCTCCCCGCCAACCGCCTCCCCATTCCTGCCACCCGTCCCCACCCCCCCTCCCCGCCGCCCAACCAGTCTCCTCGTGCCCATGCCTCTCGAAGGTGTAGGGTTGCTGTACATGTAGAGTGTCGTGCCCCCCCACTTATACTTGCGACCCTGAGTCCTCAGTTCGTTAAGAGGGGTTATCTGGCTGTTCTGTCCATGCTGCCCCCCTGCCCGTCAGGCACACGGCCATCCGTTGCGGCAGAAGTGTCCATGGTTGCGGGATTCTTGTTGGAGGCTGTGACGAGAGCAATCTTGCCACATTGCATTGGAGAAGCCTGGTTGCTCGCCTGTTGCCTCTGGACTATGGCCTCATGGTAAAACGCTTGATTTTCCACTGCGGAGACACGAAAGCCGGGTCATACGGTGCTGGCCCTGTTTGAGCGGGGATACCCCAGATAGCTATGCCATGGAGCCCATTCGTATAATGAAAGACTATGGGAAAGACTTTGGCTCCATGGCAATTGAACTGTATGTGTGTGCTCTGAGCGCCATTCAGTAATAATGTGCGCTCAGATCTGAGCTATCTGGGGATATGTTGAATGTACCTGTTTTGTGCAATGGCTGCACAGTTATATGTTTTTATGTGTTTTATTGTCTTTTGCTGCCATGTGTTCAATGGAGTTTTGCCTCTGTCCTTGGAGATAATTGGATTACTTCCCAATTATCTCCAGGATAGAAGACTCTGTGGAACTGGTTTTGGGCAGAAAAGCCATGCTTCCTTTGATCACAAGGACTACGATCTATCTTTTGAACCACTGGACCAATTTGGATGGTTTTGACATATATGTTTGTATTTGGAGTATTCAGATTCTGAAAATGTAAGTTTTTATGTGAATGTGATGCTACTTTTAAAGTTATGAATAATGTGGAAAAACTGTATTTCTCTGCGGTGATAATTACATTACCCATTGTGTAAGGTAATTGTATCACAGGCAGAGGGGAGGATTTTGTGTGGGAGTGTCTGAGTGTATTGTATGTGTTTATTGGTTATTTTCCAAAACCCTGTGGGTGGTACTAATGTGTATATAAGAACAATAAACCCACAGCTCTGTCTGTTCCTGTTTGACCCTCAAAACGGAGCCTTGTCTCGTTCTTGGGGGGATTCACTGTATGATGTTAGAGAATGATTGCCAGGAGTGTAAGCCGCTTGGGAGCTTTTCCTGTTCGTCTGCTTTTCCTGTTCGTGAGGTTCCGGTTCGGGAGTTTGGAGTGCTACCTTATTCCCTTGTATGCAATTCATGATTTTGGTGTCTACAGTAGCTGTGCCTGTGTCTCTGGAAGGGAAGATCTACTAAACGGCGGTTTAACCCCTTTTGTGCCTGGGGGAGCCGTTACAATTGGTGGCAAGCGGCGGGATCGTTCCTACAGCCAGAAGGACAGCTAGAGGAGACACCATTCCCTGGATTTACAAATTTAGGGCAAAGCATGTCTGAGTACAGCGACCCTGACAGCACCAGAATGGAACCAGCAGTGGAGTACAGCTACTCTAGGAGAGAGTTCGATAATATGATGGGATTGCGGCTGAAGTTCTTTGGACCCAATCCAGCTGAGAAATACGTGCAGTCCATGAGGAACCTAGTGTTCAAGAATCTGCTATACCGGGCAGAAAGAGAAGGTCAGCTGGCACGTTAGGAGGAACTCCAGCGGCAGGTACTGCAGGGAATAGGGAGCCCAGTCTCCATTCCCCAGCGGGAGATACAGCAGAAAATTGGGAGCCCAGTCTCCATTCCCCAGCGGCAGGCTGAGTTACAGGGGGCAGAGATAGTTGGTACTGGCCCCCAGCAGCGTGTGTTATGGGGAATTGGGAGCCCACTCTCCATTCCCCAGCGGCAGAGTGATATGCAGGGAATTGGGAGCCCAGTCTCCATTCCCCAGCGACAGTATGATTTCTTGGGAATTGGGAGCCCAGTCTCCATTCCCCAGCGGCAGAGTGTCCTACAGGGAATAGAGAGCCCAGTCTCCTTTCCCCAGCAGCAGGACTCTGTATTGGGAGCAGAGACAGTCAGTCTCCCTCCCCTGCGGCTGGAAGTATATATGGGAGAGGAGCTTGTTACCCCCTCTCCCCAGCGGCAGCTTAACGTACCAGGGGGGGACAGTAAACCCCACAACCATGCAGATGGGACCGTGGTCTCTGCACTTACAGCACAGGGAGTAGGGACGGTCGGTTCTGCCCCCCAGCGAACG